TGCTCGAAATGCTTCCAGTTGGATCTGTGCTAACACTGGCAACTATAAAATACAGCTCTCCCAAACAAGACAAAAATCATTGTCTGTAAAGCTTCGTACTTGATCATAAAAGGAATGTTTCGGCACGACATCTCAGACTAAATCCTTGCTGACGTTTGTCCCCTGGGCTAAACAATACTGGGTTCTGTCTGTCCAAACCTGTCTCCAAAGCCTGGAGTTTAGCTCACTGAAGATGCTGACTTTGCTAGCTGCTCCCTCCTCCCCAGCCCCTGAGATACCATTAACCCATTCTCTCGAGCACTGTATTATCCCGGGACCTATCCTGGAAATAGCCAGATTCCAATTCTCCTGTACTGCCAGCTCCACGGGTAGCACCGGCTTTCTGGGAGAAATAAGGAAGAAGCTACCGGATCGTGCTTTACTCCGGTTAAATTAGATACGTACACACAGATATGCACCCACACACAGAGCTGTCGCTATACGTGCACATCAAATGTAGCTGTATGGCAAAACTAACCAACCTTTTCTTGGTTGCAGAAGAAAAACTGTAATTGCAATAAAATGATTTACTCCGGTTTATATAGACTGCATGGAAAACTAGCACTAACATGCACTGCTTAACGGTTTGCACATCCTCCCTGAGGCAACTATATGTTAAATTGCATTTAAAATACATAAATTTCAAAACAACAGCGAACAGGAAACAGTAAAGAACTTGCATGCGTATTAAAGCACACGCTTTGTGCCGTAAGGCTACTTAACAGTAACGTATTTTCTCTCCTCATATTAACCCCATTACATTCATCCTAACTCTGCGTGAATGTAATTTCCTTCTCCTCTTGTAAACAAAAAAGCCACTTCGAAGGCTGGTCTTCATGACAGTGTTAAGGGAACCTTGCTAGGAAAAGCGGTGCTTTAAAGAAGCATCCTACAAGAGGCAAGCACCAGATTTGGTGGAGAACCTGGCTGAAGACAACACGGAATGGAAGCACCTACCCCAGACCACCAACACGACCGAAGATGCACAAACCAGCCTGGGCAGTGCAGCCATTGTTCCCAGCCGGGAGCGAATCTCAACCTGGGCAGAGGCTTTTTCGGAAGACACTGCTTCTCCCCTCCTTGAAGCGGACCCAGCGCAACAGGATGCCTCGGGTTGCCGGCTGCTCTGCGCCTGTTGGTTCGGATCTGCCGGCGAGAAGGGAGCCGAGGGGGGGCGGCAGCTGCCGGGTGGCTCGGGGCCGGGG